GAATCACGTGGACCTCCACAGTTAGGTGAGGGGGGGCTCAGCCACTGTACAAACTGACTCAGGAGTTTCCAACTCCTCCTCCTATTTCCCCTGTCAGAGTTCAGAGATAACGGTACTTAATATAACAGGATTTCACTATTTATGAGTTTATATTCAACACCAGAACCTTCATGTTCCTTTTGCATTGCTTGTTGTCATCCGTGAATCACACAGCAAGGCCTTGTCTGTCTCATGATGAAACATACACGTAGATTTACTGCAGTTTTGCTCCTGTTTGGTGCTTCTCCAGGACTGGAGAAGAATTTCATTGGCTCAGAAATAGTTGCAAGCCAGGTTTACGCAGCATCGTCATTGTATTGCACATTTCTGGGTGACACTGTAACGTGTGTGAATCGGTCGATGTAGATGGTCACAGTGTAGATGTAGATGGATAAAGAGCCCCTGTGGGTGCAGTAGTAGGCACTAGCATCACACCATTAGCTAAGTCACTTCACAGGGAAGGCAGTGGGGTGCTTTTAAATAGGGGAATGTAGGATTCTATTAGACACTCAAATGAACTGAGAGAAGCTGGGGATAGCATACAATGTGTTTGAGTTTTTACAGGAGGTGAGATCACAGTGGAGGACTGCATATAATGAGAGAAGGAGATAAGCGGAAATGAATGTATATACACTACAGAGGAGCGGTTAGGCAACGCCTGAGGAGAGCGTTCTTCTCACCCTGCATGTTGATGGTTTATGATAGATGTAAAAAACATCCATGCCTCGGCCTGAAGCAGTCTGCAGCTTGCAACTTAAACCCATCTGATTTCTTTGGATTCCTTGAGCAGAGAACTGAAAGCAAACTTCAGGAACAGTGTTGCTACACAATGTGAAACAGATAGCTGAATGCTAAGGAAGCAACATGTCTGTGAAGGTTCTCAGTCATCCAGGTCATCGTAGTCAAAGGAGCTTGCAAAGAAAAGCGTCTGGACTTCTTTAAGTTACTTGAAGACGTTTCACC